GGACCTATATTATAATGAAAAGTATCAAACATACTTTGTATTCACTATGAGGAAAACCTATACACTGGATAGGTGAAGTGAAGAAAAAGTGTCATTGACCAAAGCACATTCACATCAAGAGTATGTCTGATAACAAATGGTCATTATATAAGAATTTGTGATGCCATCTAGCGACCAGAGTTGAAAATTATTTATGAAACATGGAAAGAATATATGCTTATAAATTGAACTCACTGCTTAGTAGTAGTTTTCTTTTTTATTATTTCCCCCATATGTGTGTGTGGTAGAATAACAGAATAATATTACTGTTATACAAGCTGTGAAACAATTGCAATTAAGTGCTCAAATCACTCAACTTTGTAAGCATCATGGAGTAATAGATTGAATGTGGTATTCATTATTTTCTCTGCCCATCCCTACATAATAAATACTATCTTGCTTAATGATAGCCTATTACAAAGTATTCTTAAAATGCTTTTCTGTCGTACTAAAGCCATTGTGAACACTTCATTCATTTTTTGGCTACTGTGGGAGAACAAAAAAGAAAGATGAACACTTTGACTCTTTAGCTAATTCCCACTTCTCCACTTAAGTAACACTTTTAAATGATATTTGGAGTCTTACAAGCTGTGAAACACTTAATAATGGCAATTATGTGCTCAAATAAGGCTATAACTCAGCTTAATATTGTATTTATAATAAGCAAGTCACTTTTTTTCTGTGTGTGTTTATTGCAGGTCAAGTACATTATATTAAAACAATCTTGAATATGCAAATTGGCAATTAGCAGATATTTATAAGTATCGTAGAATAATGGATTGAATGCAGCAGCCATTTTGTTCTTGGTCCATCTCTACATACCAAGCACTACCATACTTAGTGATAAAATTAAAAGAAAGCATACGTGAAAAGGTTAAAGGCTGAGGGTGTTTGGTTAAATAATAATTGTCTGATACAATCTGCAGTTATTTAGAAGAAAAAGTATTTTTAGTTTTATTTCATATTTTTCATTTTACTTTCTAAATACCTGAAACATTATATGTTATTAATGGTAATTAAAAGACTACATACGCCAAAACAAAACAAACTGATGATTAACCAAAGTTGGAGTAGAGATAAAAATAAAATATTGCCAAATAAAAAAACTTTATTTTTATTTAGGAAGTCAGAGACGTTGTACAAATAAGATACCAAACTGAAAAGAAGTATTTTTATTTGTAGTGTGAAAATCACCTTCATAAATTCACAGACAAATTTTTTGTAAAAAACGTACAAAATGTTTAACTACTGCACTTCACTTAAGTGTAGTACAGAAGATAAACAAGAATGTTTAATTACCACATCACACCTACCTGTAGTCAGGATGAGGACAAAGATTTGGTGACAAGACAACAACTTCATACTGGCACGTGGATGTCTCCTTCAGGGATAAGATCTCATGTTTTCCATCTTCGTTACAAACGTAACGAATCCTAGACATCCGATGCTCACCATTTAAGTCGCAAATACTCCCCCCTGTCATATTGACCTCCACAAAAGGTAGTTTAAGATTTTCATGCTTGATTTCTGTGATTTTCTTAACAGAAAATAATGACTGTTATGACTCGTGTCAAAGTTAACAAATAAAATGTGAACAATTCCATTGACACTTTGTTAGAAACAGTTTTGTTATTTTCATTGCATATACATTTACAAAAAATATGGCTATTAGTTTTATATTTTTAGTAGAAGTTTTATTAACTTGGGTATTAATCAACTATATACAGTTTACTTGGAGGTTTGAGGCTGATGTTTTAAGTTTTGTAACAACATCACATCAGAACCTTACAAAGAACTCCTTAAAAAAAAAGTTTCCCCCTTCAAAGCTTCACAAAGATGTGGCTCAATAAAAAGTACTCTTACATAATGCCTATTCTTAAACATTATGCTAATCCAAGTAAACTAATAAAGATGGAATCAAAAATGCCTAATACCAGTGTGCTAAATTTCAATCAAAGAATGCTTCAACAAATACTTTTTTTCAAACTTCTACACGAAATTATGAACGTTAAAAACCGATGCACTTCTTTCAACAATTCCCCACACAAAAGAGGGTAAAATCCGAATATAACATGATGACTGTTTACTAGCTAAAATTCATGTCTCTACATTACAAACAGTTCTTGAATTTTTCTGTTTAAAGTTAATATTCTAATTACTTGTTCAGACTATTCAGCAAATGAATTGTCGACTTTAAGATGTATGTTTGAATCAAATCAACCTAAAATTTGCAGGAGAGTTTAGTACCGAGTTGTACTTACTTTTTTCTCACCTCGTTTCCACCTTTGTGACATTTCTTTGTATCTGACTTCTGTAAAAATAAAAAATGAAGCACTTTATGCTGTAAATTTACTATTCCTTAGTACATCCACTCCAAAAAAAAGACAAACTATACCTAACTTTCAGAAATACAATAATTAGAAACTACTATTCAGTTTCCTGCACAAAAAGTTGAAATATAATAATGCCAATCTAAGATCCCTACTTATTGAAATACCTTACAGATCACTTGTTTGGTTGAAATGAATTATAAAAACATTTGATAAAAGAATGTCAGAACTGACAATAGTCACGTTTATGAAAACTGGGGTATGTGACTTTTAAATGTTGTAATATTATGGTTGTTTTACTAATGTCTATCATCAAATAGTATTCCATGCAATTAGAGTCTATTATAAAAAACAAGTTTCCTTGAATAGTGATTATTTCCTTTTCTAAAAAGTAGAAAACAATTTTCTTAACCTGTGACTAACATGACTGCTCTATTTTCAAATATAAAATATTGCTCTCAGATGCATAGTTTCTGAAGAAACAAGATATAGCATAATAACTTTATAAAAAGAAGGCTACGGTCAACTGAAAGTATCAAAATATGGAGTTAAAAAATAATCAAAAGATACAAAAAATTTGTGCTACTGACGACACGAGCAGGCCAGGAAGAACACCTAAACACTCCAGATCAGGTGTTTAGTATGTGACAGATTTACTAATATATATTAATTTTATTATTGATGTTAATATAAATTAATTTATATTTAGAAATGTACATAACTTATACTGTTAAATATGCATTGCAAAACTCCCGTCTATTCTCTAAAGTTGTAGAAGATTCTTGAGTGTAAGAATCAACGATATA